GGGTTGACTACATAGGGGCCCAGCGACATAGCCATTACGCTAACTGCTGGTCCCAGGCTTTTTTTTTTTTTTTTAATGAAAGAATAAAGTAATTGTCAAATTACTTGACAGTATACTTACACTTTTATAGTATTTGAAAGTGTCCACGAGCCCCAGCTGCAGTACTGGTTACTGAGATCCTGTGCTCCACAGTCTAGGACCACATAGAAGAACTGGGTTCAATTCCTGGTCCAACCTAAAGGCTGGGCTGAGTGACAGAAGCTTGTAATCTCAGAGACTGGGGAAGGCTGAGGCAGGATGATCGTGAACAGGCCCTGTCTAAAAAAGAAAAGGAAAAGTATCCATGATTCCTTTTTTGTTTTGGGCAGGTTATTTTTTGCTTTGCTTTTGCTTTGCCACCCTAAACAGCTGTCAGGAAGCATCCTTATGAATTGGGGTTCAAGTATAATATTTCACCTACTCTTGGGGCACTAGCGATTTCTGCCCAGTATTCCTCAGGAACTTTTTGTTTTGTTTTTGTTTTTACTCACATGTGCACTTTATTGAATCCCATTGTAGACAAACACAGGAGTGCAAACTACTGTGTAAACGGTGGGGGCATGGGTGGGGGCAGGGGCATGGCTGCAACCAGGCCACAGGCCAGCAGGGGATAGTGGGGACCATGAGCAGCTACTGGAAGCCTTCAAAATATTTTTCATCTCTGCAATCATTTGGTGGATTATCGCTGGCTTGATAACGAAACTAATGATGACAGTAAGGATGCTGAAAACCAGGGTGCAGATCTTCAGGCACTTGGGGGTAGAGGCGGGCCTGGGCCCTAATCACATCACTCACCACCTTCCTGTCCCTAGACTTCACCGAGTTGGCGAATGCGATGAAGCCCAGGTAATGGTTCATGAAGACCATGTTGAACAGGGACTAGACCACAGGGTCGGGCACCGACGTCTCGCTGTGGATGTTGATCACGGTGGACCCCATGAGAGAGCCACGGTTGGGTGCCCCCTCCCTCCCCTGGCACATAGATGTCATGCTCTTCCTTGAGCATCTCATAATTTGGGAGAGGGCCGGTGCTGGCGTGAGTGAAGGTTTGGAAAGTGTAGTTCATGGCGCGCACAGCACCAGAAGCAGGGTTCTGATGTTGGGTTGGTGCTGGGGGCGGGGTGGAGGGGGTTGGGTGGGGGGACAGTTGTTCTACAGTAGTTTCAATTTTCCTTTGGTTTCTCCCAGGAACGTCTAAGCCACGAAGACCAAATGGAGACAGCAGCAGAAAGACTGTACCTAATTTTACATCGTTGCAAACAGCACTGTAAGTCTGGCTGGTTTTATGTATTTTGGGTAGTTACTGTTTCAGAGTGGCAACATTTTCCCCTCTAAGACACTGGGAGAAGGGCAGTCCCTCTGCTTTCCTCACAGTCCCCAAGCATTGGCTTCTGCTGGTCTCTATGCCTGGAAGACCCTCCACTGTTGGTCTGGCTGACTCCTGGTCCTCCCTTGAAAACGTAAGCTCAAGGGTAAAGCCTCTGGGAAACTCCCCTCTCCTGGGTTCTAGCATCGCCACGGTCCACGGCTCGTGGAGACCGTGTGGAACCTGATTCCGTGAGAATAAGACGATCTCGGCTGTAGACAGTGGATGTAAAGCCAAGGCTCCTGGGTCACGCAGCAGAATTCGAATCCCCTTTGCCCGGCAGGGTTTGGGTTAATCACAGTCTCAATTTCTTCAGTTTGACTGACGCAGGATTTTACTCCAAAAATGTAATCTTCGGGAGAACTCAGCCAACGCTTAGCAGCTCTAGGGTGCTTCCAGCGCGGAGCAGAACCAGCCCTTCCAACCGTCGGCCAGGAGGCAGCCGGCCAGAGAACGTCTCCAAGTGGACGGCTGCGCCCGACGCGGGGCGGGGCCGGGCGCGCTTCGGCGGCGCTCTAGCCCGCCCGGAGCACCACGCTCTCCCCACGCGGGGCGCTGATTGGCTGGAAGCCGCCAGCGCGCCTG